TGATAACCCAAGAAAAGAGGCTCCTTGGCGACGCAAGTAGGTAGGGAGCAAATGTTGGGTGTGCGGTCCTTGGCTGGAAAACGGCGTGTGAGTGGACAGGCTGGAGATAGGCTGGCTGGGGGTCAAGCTGGAGCTCAAATGGTCTGGCCGTGGCCATCAAAGACTGGTCGAGAACAAACACGGCACGGTCGCTGAAGGAGCAGGGGTGTCTTTGGCTTTGCAAGGTGGTGGCAGGTGTATCAAGCTAAAGGCGAACGCCGCGGAGCGACCAAGCTGTACTGGGCGAGATATCGATTCTGGGCAGTGAGGACGGCGGACGTTTAAGACGAGCTGGAAACAAGGTTTTGAGCTTGAAAAGGCTTGCGTGAGCTTGAATTCGAGGCTGGAAATAGCCTGACAAGCCGCCAATGTTTCTCGGCGTTCCAGAGTCTTCCGTGCTGTCTCCCGATTTGACAAAGAGTGAAGGAAGATAAGGGGATTTGGATTAATGAATGGAGCTTGAGACGACGGTAGGTCGAAACTACGAAGCTTGCCGAAAACGACGTTGAAGAAGGGAGAACAACGAAATTCGAGAAACGAAAAGGGTCCGAGACAAGAAGACGTCAAAACAATGCGAGAAGGGACCGAACTGCGGAGAAAAGCGACCGCTGCGACCCCCGCAAATCGCTGCCGTTGGGGGTGCAAGGCTGTAGGTGGTGAGACTCCAACGTACGTGGGAGACGCAGTACGTGGGATGCAGCAATTGGGGCTGCATTAAGGGGGGGGTCGATGAGCAGAGAAAAGCAAGGGGAAGCAGAGAAGATGCAGGACTTGGATGCAGAAGACAGAAAAGGGGGGGGAAACCCACCACAGACAACGACAAAAAGCTGGTCCCGTGAGAGGCAGAGTTTGTCACCGACCGGGGCAGGGACGATGGGGGATGCAGGCTGCAGGTGTCTTACTCTTGCCCATTGGGCATCATGCCACACGTGCTCTGTTGTCCCTTCACCGACATAAGGACGAGACTGTGCTTGCCTCTTTGGGCGCTTCTTTTACCTGCTTCCTATTTTCTTGCGCCTTTTCTCTCCCGCTTTCGTCACTGCAGGAAGGCGCGTTGCGATAGTCCAAGGAAGGGCCGTTGGCTGGATCTTGCCTGGCCTGTGTGGGAGACCACGATTCGCAGAAGCGCGCCGGACGCCAGCCTGGCCCCGTGCCTGCCCGGGTCCCTGTCCTGGCGCCCAAGTGGAGTGCGCATCAACTCGCCGACGGACGAATTGCCAAACAAAGGGTTGCGAGTGGGTAAGTAGCTGGACGCCGTGCTGGCACCTGCGATGTTACAAATCGGGGCTCTGTGCCAAGCTCCGCGGACCGCGGCCTGATCCTGTACGCTCTTGTCCGGAACAGAGCGTCACCCAACCACAGATGACACTCTGGCCACACGTCAACAAAACAGAAGAAGCCGTTTGTGGCGCTCAAACACGACGCCAAGAGTGCACAACCATATTGAAGCGTTCCGGTGCCTCTGCACTCTCAGAGTCAGTTTGTTCGAGACCGTCTACATTCCCGGAAGCCTCACAAACCTCTGACCGCAGGCCATGGACGCTGGCTGCCTATTGAAAGGTCGTCCGGAAGTTCATAAAGGGCGACAGTGTACTTGTAGAGGCGCTGCTAGCGATGGTGTTATTCCAAACGATGGGGAAACCATTTCGTTCACTCATGACTGGCACATGCCGAAATCCATGGCAACACTAGCACGAGAAGCAGACAAGCATTTCCTGTCGCCGCAACACCACAGGCCAAGCTTCACTGTGTGTTTTCGCATCACCACACCTTTTTCGCGGCTAGAGCTTGGCAGTGCATGCTGCCGAGACGAGAAGACCCAGAGACAGGAAACAGGAGGGCCAGGGCCAAGCCTACAGCACGATAATGCACGTCAAGGTACAACGGAACACAATTACTCTCAAGATATGAACAATAAGCGGAGTACGTCGTAACGATGCGGCGAGGGATGGACCGTGAATTTGCAATATGTGGGATATACATGCACACGGCGAGGGAGAGGGGAGGCCTGGCCCGTAATTCCTGCCATGGCTGCTGTGCAACGAGAAGAGGCATCGGCAACGGCTTGTGAGTGTGACGAGTATGCAGCTGCTGCCGCCGTACGTCGGATGTCTTGAAGAGTAAGCAACGTCCCTAAGAGTCAGATGCCGGACGAATATGAATATGCACTTGGACGGGTGAACGTTATGCCCCAGACCTACAAAGCCTTTTATCGCATCATCACGCACGAGGTGCTACGTCATGTTGTTCTTAAATGATATGGACTTGTCCAAGGTTATGCCTCGTTGCCGGTGCGGAACATGACCAAGCCGTGACAACGTTAACCCGGAGCGAGCGTCCCAAACAGGCCAGGTCAGACCAGGCCACATACGAGTGTTGCACTGCCTGTATGTTGTACTACGAGGCGACTTCACGACGTAACTAAGAGGGGCGAGGCTCGACTGCTTTTTAAACTTTTGCTTCCACTTCCGCTGGCAGACTCTCCGCAGTGCTTCTATTCTTGTCGCCGACGATCAACCTGTGACTGTTCTCAAAGAAGCAAAGTCTCAATCCGCCTTGCCGGGACAACACCATTCATAGTGGCATCGTCCAGACTGCATAATACGAATCGTTGCCCGGGGTTAGTGCGAGACGTTGTGCGCCGCATTGATTGGTTTGGTCGTCTGGACCGAGGACTGTCTCGCGCGGGGCAAGCCTGAACGACAATGGCTCCCACGATCGAATGGGCAGTTGTTGGCAAAACGACGTATTTGATGAAGCGCAAGAAAAGAGAGTAGAGAAAGCTTTGCACTTCGACTGCTCAGCAAAAAAGTGGAGAAGAGCGAAGGAGGGACTACCAGACTACTTCGCTGACATAATGGCATCCTTCCCCCTTCCATCCCACTGTATTCGCTGTGGCTTCGCCTGTTTCTAAAATTAGGAGCGGCGAGCAGCCCCGCTAAAACAGGTGCAGTCCGACGAAAACGCGAAGCTGTTTGGCAGGAGAGCGAAGAGGAAAAGTAGGAAACCCCCCAGCCACGCCGAATAAGGCTCGCATGGGTGGGTGCTGCGCGCGCCACGTTTCTATTTTTTGTTTCTGTTTTGCCAGTCGCTTGGAGCAGACGAGTCCTGCAGCGGTTTGTTTCACCACTGACATGGTTTCCAACTTTTCTGTGGCTCACCAAACGGCTGCCCCACAGCACTTTGTCCATGCAAAAGAAACGACGCAATATGCTGAGCCTCTTTTCTGACGCCCTATTACAACGTTCCCATTGTGACTTTGTCTGCCTCTTTTGCGACTGTCAAGAGCATTGAAGACACGACCGGCGACGACGCTCATGGACCCTTGACCAGACCGCATTTCGTTTTTGTCGTTTGTTTCTTTATCGCGCAACCTCCACCGCCGACAACAGGGAAGTACAAGAGGCAGATCTTACGTATCGATTCTCGGCAGACGAGCAGGTTCCTCTTTTCTTTTTCCTCTTCTTTTTGTGCTGCACCTTTAAACTTGGCAAAAGATACGTACATGCACTCTGCAAGACCAGCCGTCCACGCGTCAAGTCGTGTCTTTCCCTGGAGGCGCTGCTTGCAAGCTGCCTCCGATTTTCCCGTGTTCTGGTGGCAACAGCCTATTTGTTTGTCGTCAGGGGTGACGCAATACGTCTTGAAACTGGGCAGGCTGGGAGGTGCTTGTGTTGATACTCAATATTGATGCTGAGTGAACCAACTGAAGTCTTTGTTTAAGCTGGATGGTACTGCTGGTTGCTTTCTGCTGCAATCCAGCGGAAACGAGGACACCAACTAGCGACAACGGGGAAAGGAAGAAGGAAGAAGGAAGGAGGAAGAAGGAAGGAAATCCAAATGACACGGTGCCGGGATCCTGGCCTGGTCCCAACGCCTGTCGACGGAGATTGGCTGCGTTCCCTGTCAGCACTTTTTTTTTCTTGAGGGAAGCTGATGATCGATCTCCTCCTTTTTTCCCTCTTCTGACTGCCATCCTGGACGTGCAAGTCGTACCCGCCGTATATTTTCTTCGACAGCTATTTCCCTTCCTTGAACCTGTAATTACCCAATTGAGGGCAGCGCGAACGCGAGATACGGAGGATTATGGTTGTGCGGAGTACTTTCAGCCCTCGTGCGGAATGCACATATTTAGCTCTCGCAATGCACACCTCACAACTTTCTTGACACACTAACCCACCGTTGGCAGAGCTAACAACCAGGCCAGGCCTGGCCTGGCCGGGGCCATGTTAAATACAGGTTGGTAGACTTGTATTTGGTATATGCACATGTAGAGCTTCAACGAATTAAAGTACCCCCTGTGCCTGGCCTGGGCTGATTTGTTGGATCTAGTGTCCATGACATGATGACGGGTCCACGAACCGTCAGCTTCGAACCCGCGCAATTACACTGCATGATGCTCCAAATTCGCCCAGCAGCGGCATCCGTCAAGATGCCCTGGCGACGCCCGGCTGCTGCACCAACGCTGTATATTCGCTGTATAATCGTCTACTTTGTCGACCTTTGCGGACCGTTGCCAGTATCAACAACTTCATCGACAGCTTCGTTTTGTTTGTTTGTTTCTCCAAACTCGCTACTCCCAATGAAGTACAAAAACACACTGTTCTGTCTGCTTGTAGAGACAGTCTGCCATGAGAGCCATCGTCCGTAAGATACGACGAATGCGACCTGCTCCTTCAAGCCCCTTGGATACTTTCGCACCAAAAATGCGCCTCGCGACCACCCGCGCTGCCAAATTGAAATTACAATACCCTGCAGGAACGCGCTGTGCACGACGAAGCCAAAGCACCCCAAAGTCAAAACCAACCCGCACACAATCCATTTTGCACGCAAGACCCCTGAAGCACCCCTAGTCCTTCGTTCCTTCACTGGTCTGCTGTATTGCTGTTTCCTGTCCCGCACGCAGCTGCTCCTTCCTCCTCCAGAGCCAAGCAGGGGCTGAGCAAAACATACGCTAGGCCATGTTGGGCGATCGCTCCTGTGCAGATCCACCAACTGGCGGCCACGCCCTGCGCCACGCCACTGGTCTTCAGAGCCTGCCCAGCCAGCTAAACGGGCAGGAACAGCACTCGAATCACCGCCACCACCACCGCGACCACCATCAACACCAACCCAGGTCCGCTTTCCTCGACAAGGCCGATTCCCTGCTCCTCGCGCGGTCTCAGGCTCCCACATTTTCCACGCCGCGCACAGCAGGTGCGACTCAGGCGAACCAGGCTCGCCAGGCCGCGCCCCCTGCCACTTCCTTTGGTCTCACCTCCCCTTCTTCCCGTATTTATGAGCAGCCCCCTCCCCGACGCTCTCGCCCATCGCCTGCTTTTGCTCCTCGTCATCTTCCCGCCGTTTCTTCTTCGCCCACTTTCGTTTCTGTGAGTCCCGTCATTCGCCAGGTGTCCAGCCAGTCCGAGTCATCTGTCTCCTCCGAGTCTTCTCACGACTCATCGCCGCCCTCGCACTCGCGCACCCAACACGCCGCCGCCTCACCACCCTTACCCTTTCTTCCTCCGCGATCTCGACTTCGACCTCAGTCTGCAGTCAACAGCAGCGCCGATCCACTCGCTTCGTTTCCACCGCCGGCTCCTCCCAAACCCGCCCACTACAGCGTCCACAACCACCGGCGACCGCCATTTTCACCACTTCCGCCTCCACAGGATAAGGATAAGGATATCACCAGCCGCTCCACATCGCCACCGTCCTATACCTCGAGGCTCGCTTCTTTCGCGCGCACCTTTAGCCCGCCTCTTCCGCCGCGCCCGCTGAAAAAAGCCGTGGGCTCGTCCTCCTCCTTGTCGTCTCATCGCCAACACAACCAACATCCCCGAACCGCCAAAATGGTGTCTTGTGGACGTGTCGTCTGCGTGGCCCTGCCTTTTGTGCTGGCTGTCATCAGCATCGCGGCCCTGCTTGTGGCCGCTCTTGCCGGTGTCGCCGACAAGAACCTGTACATGTTCGAGGTGAACACCACTGCGCTGTCTGTCAGCCCCGCCGATGCGGTAAACATTCTGAGTAGCCGTGCGGTGTCGAACGGCGCTGCTCTGGACACCCGTGCTGCTGCCGTCCCCATTGTTGCCGCCCCCCTTGCTCGTGCTGCCGCGCCCGCGCCAGTCGGCTTCCATGACTCCTCCGTCGCCCGTGCTTCGGTTGGCTTCCACGACCCCAGCCTGCTGACCGACAGCGGCAAGTCCGATGCCAACTCCGCCACCTCGGGCACGACGGATGGTGCCAGTGAGAAGGCCACGACCGGCGGCGTGCCGTCAGGCAACATCACCGCTGCCGACCTGGCCCTCGGCAACCTGTACGACATTGGCCTGTGGAACTACTGTGTCAAGGAGCAGAACGGCACGCGCACCTGCTCCAAGCCCGAGTTCAACTGGGCCGAGAAGACGCTCAACAACTCGGAGAACTCCGTCACCACCCTGATCAGCTCCACGGGCACCGATCTGAAGATCCCCAAGGACATCACCAACGCCATCAAGGTGTTTGGCACCCTCGCGAAATGGACCCAGGTCGTCTTTATCATCGCCTTTGGCGCTCTGGCACTGGAGATTATCTTTGGTCTCTTCACGGCCTGCAGCCGCGGTGTTGCCTGCGTGACCTTCCTCATCGCCAGCATCACGGTCATCGCCGTCGTCGGTGCTGCCGGCCTGGCGACCGCCATGTCCATTGTTGTTGTCGCCGCGATCAAGGCCGAGGCCAACAAGTACGGCGTCGATGCCTCGGCCAACTATCGTTTCCTGATTGCCGTCTGGATCTCGGCCGCCGCCGCCATCGCGGCCTCCTTCTTCTGGATGTTCACGGTCTGCTGCTGCAGCCCCGAGAGCCGTCGTGACCGCTACCCGCGCCACCTGGACGACAAGTCCATCCCGCCGAGCTCGGCGTACCAGCCGCTCAACGACCCCAGCAACGGTGGCATGTACAACAATGCCAACGCCTACGCTCCGCAGTACGGCGCCCCGCGTGCGGGCAATCGTTCGGATCTGGCCTACGAGCCGTACTCGCACTCGCGCGTGTAAACAAACGCCCGCCGGCCTGTTTGCCTTTCGGCTTTTGTCTCACATGAAAAGCTCCCCAGGGGAGACCGGCGTCTGCCGGCGTCTCTTCGCACTCCCTCGCACTCTTCCCGCCTACACCCACCTATTTTGCTTATTTTTGCGTCCTTCAGCTTATTTGATGTCTGCATCAACGGCGTTTCATCTGGAAAGATTCGATTTTCGATTTTTTGCTACTTTCGATTTATGTTGTTTTTATCTGTTACCTCATGAGGGGCTGGATGTGGAACTTTTTCTTTTTTATATTTGCTCGTCCATGACTGGGTAACGACGATAGAAACTATTTTTATATATGTTCTTTGTATATCCTGCTTCTTCCGAAGACGGCAAGTTGCCATGAGCCGTAGAAGTGGAAAAATGAAAAACACCGACATTTGTTACTTTTGATACCATAATGACTCTACTTCGTGCATACGCCGTTAGTAAATGATTGCGAAGTAGCAAGTCAAGTTTTCCTCGTGAGAGCTGCACGTGACCACCAAAGCACATTTCCAATCGCAAATTCGTCAACAATGGTTGTTCAGGGACGAGTTGTGATTCTACGATGGTAACTCAAAATGTAAAACACCAGACGACGACAGGATTTGAGAATTGTGATTTCTCTTCCGCACGAACTTGAGGTGGTGCTGGGATTGTGTGTAGTGTCGTAGTGGACACCTGTAGCTACAGAACCACAGTGCCCAAGTTAGTGTCGTGAGAAAAAAAATCAACGACACGCCAAAAAAAGGCACACAATACAGGAAGGAGCCCAAAGTCGCTCTTTCATATTTGGGTTAGCTCTTATGCCACCATCGCACCTTCCACTCATCAATATGGGCGTATAAAGTCTCCAAACACCAATTTTAACTCAAAAGGCAACAGCGGGCAGGATCTCTCTTTCCCTGAGATCACAAACCCCAATTTGGCGGGGTGGTACCTGCTGCCATGGCTGCCGCCACGTTGACCCCTGGGGCCCAGCAGCAATCAACACACAACCAGATGCCTGCTGCTCCCCGCCGGCTTCAACGCGACGAAGCATCCGTCTTGTGTCCTGTCACCGCTCTCGCATTCTACCGCTTTCGACAGAACGCCAGTTCAAAAGAGAGCCCCTCGCTGTTTGTGCTTGCGGGGGAAGATGGCTGGCTCGCCGTCTACGGTGCCTTGGAAGGTGATACTCGACTTGCACCAGGATCTGACTCCCTGTCCGGCCGTCGCTGTTATGGCCGGCTCCGCGTCTTTTCCGAGCAGCCTATCCAAGGATGCCGGGTGGGACGTCGAGACGGTGAGGATGGGGTCGATGAAGACGATGCTGTTCTCGTCTGGGGCGGCCGGTCTGTGGCGATTGTCGGCCGGGAGCACATTGCCCAAATCTTGGCAGCCACGGCTGGGAGCAAAGCAGCAGGCGAAGCAGGACCGTTGCATCCCGTGGTGAACGAGGTTCTGGCACCAGACTGGATCTACGACGGTCTTTTGCCGCGCTGCCGTGCCTCAAAGGGGCTTGATGGAAGGCATGCAGGTGCGCTGGTCACGGCGCACAATGAGATACTGCCATTGTGGGTGGAACAAAGTGGCTTGATCCGCTTCGGCGCGCCCATCTCACCGTCTCGACCGGTGCTATACTCTGCCCAGCTGGCCTGGGCGGGCAGCAACAAGAGCACGGTCAGCAGTGGAGGAGACGAACGCTTGCTCGTTGTGGCAGGCACCGTGTTTGGCGAGATCGTGGTCTGGACGTGTCAGCTCCCTACAACTGACAATGTCCGCCAAACAGACCTTGGGATTGACGTCCTCGACGTGTTTACGGGCCACGAGGGCTCCATTTTTGATGTCGTCGTGTCGCCGGAGCTACGCATGAGCGATTTGGTGGGCCGCGAGGCAGAACCCGCGCTGCAAAGACGGGTCCGGTTGCTGGCAAGCTGCAGCGACGACCGCACAATATGTATATGGCCGTTGTACCTAGACAGCGGCCGCGACGAGGCGGACGGCGGTGCAAAGGTGGTCGGTGCGCCCGCGAAGAACATGGCCCGTGAGACTGGTTTCCAGAATACTTTCGAAGGGCTGGCCCGGCGGACCGATGAGCCGCCCAACGGTGCAAAACCACAACCTCGGACGGCCGTCGAGAAGCAGTATCTCCAAAGCGCCGACCTTCCGGTACCATCGACACCGTCTTCGTCGTCCGCGCTGGCATCCGTCATGGCACACGCTTCGCGCATCTGGCATGTGCGATTTGGCGAATTTTCGGCAGCGGCCGCTCAGGACGGCAACTTGCTTCTCTATTCATTTGGTGAAGACGCCACGGCTCAAGAATGGCGGCTTGACTTGGGTCTCAACCCGCGCACACAAGACAAGCACAGCTTCAGCGGGAAGTTGGTGCATCTACGCACCTTATCATCACATGTTGGAAAGAACATTTGGTCGGCGGCTGTCTTTCCCAAGGCATATCATGGTGTGCGATTGCCGCGAGGCCCTCTTATTGCAACTGGCGGTTGCGATGGAAAGATATGTCTCTTCGAAGGTCGCCATAGCGAACCACAACCTGTCGCATCCCAAGGCACCCAACTCGCCACACTTCTGTCGGGCACCATTGCTTCTTCAAAGATTCCTTCACGGATTGGCAGCGTAGACACAGAAGTGCACCCTCAACCATCACCGCCACCCCCTCCTCCTGCCACACAAGAAGAGGAAGGAGAATCCGTGCCGAAAAAGAAGTCGAAAGCGAAGACGATGAAGATCCGCGAAGAGTTGTTTAATAGCTATGCTTTTTTGTCGGATGACCAGCTGCTAGCTGCCACGACTCAGGGAAGGCTTCTGCGCGGCGACCTCCGCTACACAAGCAGCGAAGCAGCAAGGCTCGAGTGGATCGAGCTGCCCGGCGTTTCGGATGACACTACACTGTCATTGAAAGACTACAACGTTGTTCGCAGTCCGCTAGGTGACGGTGGCAGCGGTGTAGCAACAAACCCGAGTGCTGATGGGCTCGCCATTATTGGAAACGCAACCGGCCATCTGTTTCTGTACTCGAGACGCGGTGGGCTGCAGAGACTTACTGCTACCATCCCTGGAAAGGTGGACGAGATCCTTTTCCTTCCGCATACGGTGGACGATATATCCGCCGTCAAGGCCGCGGGGGGATCCTTATTTTATCTTGGTGTCATTGCGACAACTCTGTTCCGAGATGGGGCTACCCTTCTGGTTTTGACGATTGACGTGTCCAGCGGCGCACTGGTGTCCGAGAGCACGAGATCGATGAAGCTGCCCACTAAAGTTCCGGCTTCACCTGCGGCTATGGTCATCACAACTGCAAGCCGGTGCTTGGAGTACATTGTGCTGGGTTCCCGAAATGGACAACTGTGCTTGTACAAGCCAGTAGAGAGCGACGGCGGTAATGCGGCTGCGACATTTGTGTTGGCGACGCAGTTCCAGACACGGACCCGAGACGCGATCCTCTCGATTGTCCCACTCCCTCCACGACCTGGCCAGCCTCCTCTATCGTCTGCCTCCTTTGTCGTGACAGCCCGTGATGGCATGTACCGCATCTGCACCATCGTCGAAAGCAGCACCGGTAATCCCTCCATATGCCTGCAGCACGAGACCGCCACGCCATTTGGCCCCATTGTCCGGGACGCTTGGTTCATCCAAAGCGAAACGCCAGACGAGCCTCCCGAGCTTGTCGTGTGTGGCTTTCGAAGCACACATTTCGTCGTCTGGAACGAAACGCGCCAGCAAGAGCTTGCAGCGGTCGACTGCGGGGGCACCCACCGCACCCATACATACCTCTATGGGAGGGCCAACGGAACCAAGTCGACGATGAGCGCGGGCAGAATACGTTTCGCATTTACGCGTCAGTCCGAGCTGCACGTGTTTGCGCAGGATGTATGCGTCACCGTGCCGCTCAAGACTGGTGGCCACGGTCGAGAGATTCGTTCTGTTTGTGCCAGCGCCAGCGGCAAGTATATCGCGACCGGCGGCGAGGACACGGTTGTTCGCATATGGAACAACCCACAGACGGGCGGTAACAGTATAGCAACCTCATCATCGGCGATGGAGAGACGTTGCCTTTCCGTGCTGAAACTCCACAACACTGGCCTCCACAGCCTGGCCTGGCTCGGCGATGACTGCCTGATCAGCGCTGCCGGCTCCGAAGAACTCTTTATCTGGCGGGTATCGACAATGGCCGACTCATCATACGACGGCTTGGCCGTACTTTGCGAATCATCGTATCCCGACAGCAAGGACGACAAGATCCTGCGCATCATTGGCCTCGATGCGAGTCTCGACCCAAGCGACAACGATGGCAGCGCCATGTTCATCTCGGTCGCACTGTCCAACTCGGTCCTCAAGACGTACCGTTATGCCGCCGCCAGCGGCTGGCAGCTGCTGTCCCAGGGCCACTACACAGGGGCCTGTTCGACACAGCTGCGCCATCTGTCGTTGCGGCGTGGAGGCGATCTCGTGGTGCTGGCGGCGTTTGCCGATGGACATTTGACCGTGTGGAGAGCGGCTCCAGAGGCGCAGGAGGCGGCCGGAGGACACGAGTCTATTCTGTACGGCGACTACTTGCTCTTGTGTTTGACTAGGACGCATCAAAGTGCAGTCAAGTCTCTTGACCTTGTCTCGACCGGTCAAGATGATACCGGATCTCGGACGGCCATTTTGACCGGCGGCGACGACAACGCTATAGCGGTCACGATCCTTGGCGCAACCGTCCATGGCGACAACAGCGTCACCTACGCGTTTGACAAGACATTCCGCGTGCCCAGTGCTCATGCCGCCGCCGTGACCGGAGCCAAAATTCTGATCAACAAGGCGTGGGGGGAGACGGGCAATTCCAGCTTCACAGCGGTCACCTGCAGCAACGACCAGAGGCTCAAAGCATGGAGAGTTATCATGTCGAATCCGGGGAGCGCGAGTGCGGCGAGCACGGCGAGCACGGCCCGCATACAGCTTCTGGACGACCGTTACAGCGCCATCGCTGATCCTGGTGACGTGGAAAGCATTGGAGGTGATGGAAGCGCATCTGGCAGCATTTCTGCTCTTGTCGTCGGCATGGGCATGGAGACATGGAGATTGGAGTATTTATGACTAAGATACCATTAAAAAAATACAAAATTGGCTATATTAGACTCAAAGTCCTTTAACTGCAGGTGCAAAAGGAATAAAAAATACATATATAAAAAATGATACTATGATCGTGGCAGGGGTCGAACCTGCGATCCCATCCGATCAGCATTTAAAGTTATACCACTCACTGTAAAGGACATGCCCTAACCACTAGGCCACACGATCAGTATAATAAAATTTTTCCACTATGTCGCTATATGAACTACACTCCGCACTTGCGCTCTTACCATAGCTCCACCCCCCGCAAAATCGTAACAGGGAGCTTTAAACGCACAACATCGACAGCACTTCACCAAGTTGGTTCACACTGCGCAAGACAAGGCACAACCACCACCCAAGATGCACAGTGCAGCAGCAGTTCAGAGGCTGGTCCAGCGCAGCACAGTTGGCCTCGGCCGCTCAGCAAGGTAAGCTCTCAAGGCCATGGCCAAATTGGACCTCGCAGTTGCGTTTATGTTTTTGTCACCTTGTCTCTAACAGCTGCCGTTTTCTACAAAACAGTGCCATTGCCGCTTCGCGAACACTCGCCCCAGCTGCCGGTATCTCTATTACCCTGCGGGCGACGCCCACTTCGACGAGTGCCTACACAAACCGCTTCGTTGCCGCCGCGCAGCGCAGCTTCTCTCAGACGGCTGTCACGTGCAAGAAGAAGAAGGTGACGGAAGACGACGACCACGCCGACGGCAGCAACCACCCGGCGCCCAAGGCGGCCGACGCCTTCAACTTTGAGGACACGGAGTCGCGTTGGCAGCGCACCGAGGTGCACTACCTAGAAAAGTTCAAGGAGCTCAAGCGGTCGCTGAGCGGCGGCGGCAGCGCGGGCGACGGCGAGGGCGGCGTGGACGTGGACGCCATTGGCAAGACGCGGGTGGTGCAGAAGAGCGGCGATGAGGCCGGCGACGAGGTGCCGCTGAGCCAGCTGGCCCTCATCATCCCGCGCGCCGGCGGCCGCGTCGTCGAGCTGCGCATGCACAACCCGGCCAGCCGCAAGGCCATCACGAGCGCCGTGCAGACCAACCCGCTCTTCCAAGGCCAGCAGCCGCAGCTCGACCCCAACGACGAGCTGGTGCTGCTGATCAGACTGGGCGGCGCCAACGACAAGACGACGTCGTCGGCCGCCGCCGCGGCAGAGCGCCTGCGGCGCGTCCACGACCTGGCCAATGCATGGCGGACGGACCTGCGCAAGGCCACGACGCGCCGGCAAAAGATACACCAGGGCTGGAAGAAGGACAAGTCTGTGCAGCCGGACGACCTGTTCCGCCTGGACCGCGAGCTGCTCAAGGGCCAGGACAAGCGCATGGCCAAGGTGGACGCGACCGAGAAGGACGCGGCCAAGCACGCCGAACGGATCAACAAGCGGTAGAAGGTGGTCACAAACGTTACAAAGAGAGTGCGGGGTTCACAGAAAGGTCATCTAGAGACGCCATCACACATCGACATGGCAATGTAAATTATTCAAAAATTGGAATGAAAAGTTTGGCTTTGTATTGTACATTGATATATCGTTTGGCGAGTAATCGGGTTTTTGGGTGGTGGGGGGAAGGAGAAACAACCAGAAATATACAAGTTCTCCTCTCCAGCATTTCATTGTAGTACATTTTACAATCGACTTGTCCCTTCTCTTCTTCTGTCTCCCTCCTCACGCCTTTGCCGTCTTCGCCACCTTGTCGCCGGCATCGGGCAGCAGTTCGAGGATCTTGGCATCAAACTGGCGCTTGTGCTGCTCCGTGTACGTGTAGTCCTTGCCCTGGTACCGGTGCAGCGTCTGCAGCAGCGTGCCGTTCTTGGCCGTGTCCGTGTCGTACGCGCCGCGAATCGCCGCGTCCACAATCACCTCCTTGGCGGCCTCGCTGAGCGGCGCCACAAGCGGCGTGTCGGGAGGCAGCTTCTTGTTCGCCAGCCGCTTCTGCACCCTCGACGAGCGCAGCGCCTTCTCCACCATCGACCGCTCCATCGCCGTGTCAAAGAAGACCGTCTCGCCGTTGTGCAGGCGCTCGCGCAGGCTCTGCACGTTGGGCACCGACGTCATGCTCGACGCGCCCTCCTCCTCGCTGCCGCCAAAGGCGTCGCCGCCCGACATCACGCGCATCTCGCGCAGTGCCATCGCCACGGTGCCAGCGCCGTCGCCTTCCGTCGAGACCACGGCCGGCCGGTAGCCCAGCAGACCCTCGAGCGTCAGACGCGGCTCAAAGTCCGAGAACTCGCCCATTTTTTCTCGGGCAAGGTGCTCAATGATCTCGGGAGCCAGAGGGTCTGTGTCCTTTTCGTCCCCCTGTACCTCTTCTCCGTTTTCGTCACTCCGCCCCTGCCCGCTCCGTCCTCGGCCTCGGCCTCGACCCCGGCCCTGGCCCTGGCCCTGGCCCCGGCCGCGCCCAAAGCCTTCTCGGTCACGAAGCAGGTTCTCTCCGCCGGCGCTGGCCTGGAAGGCAGGGTTTGAGATAACGCGAGGCGTTGGCGCGCTCGCAGCGAAACGGGGTCCGCCGCGTGAATTCCGCGGCAGGCTGCGGAGGTTGATGATGTTGCCGCCTCCGCGTCCCGCCGCATATGATGGCCCACGCGACCGTGGCGCGCTGTTATTCAATTGGGCGCCGCCCCTGCGGCTGTTGTTTGTGGTGTTTGTGGTGTTTGAGGCGTTGTTGCTGTTGCTGTCGTTGAGGGAACTGACTTCGGATGCCGCTGCGGCCAGGCGGTCCTGGCGGCCACGCACGTTCTTGAGCACTGCTTGGGAGGGTGTCGAGGAGAAAAACGCCGTCGTCTCGATCGACAACGGGCCCCGAGCGCCGGATGCCCCATAGCAGGCCGTCGTCAACTGGCTGTGCGTGGTCCGCCCCAGCGCGGAGCGGAAAGACGGCCGATGCATATCTCTTGCACCCACCAATCGAAGTTACGTCCGTGGGTATGTATGCGTGTTTGTGTCGTCGTGGTTGTGGTCGTCCGATGTGGCTTCAATGCAGGGCCCGAAAGAGCTTCGTTGCCGCCTGCACGAAACTCGACTCGAACATAGGATGGTGAAAATTGAGTGAAAATGCGGTGGCTCTTGATTGGTCAATTGCCCCAGTAAAAGTGGGTTGCTTAGTTGTGCTGCAAAAGGCTATACGCGCTATACATTAGTGGCACAGCGTGCTGACGGCAGTGAAGCTCCAACATCACATTGCCAGCTGAGTGCCTTTTGATCAGATTTCCAACTAATTGCATTATCGGGCAAAATAAAACTAAATAGACACCCACGAGACAACCGAATATGTAATCTTTATTGTATTGTTTTTGCCACTCCCTACGACTGGAGAGGCTTACCCAAGCCACCCGTCGTGACCATCTTGGTGATCTGGTACTCCTCAATGCCATAGGCAGAGCCCTCACGGCCAAACCCGGACTCCTTGACGCCGCCAAAAGGCGATGCAGGCTCCGAGATCAGGCCCGTGTTGACGCCCACCATGCCGACCTCGAGGTGCTCGGCCACGCGGTAGATGCGCTCAATGTCGCGCGAGAAGAAGTAGCCCGCGAGACCGACCTCGGTGCTGTTCGCGAAGCGGACAACCTCCTCCTCCGTGTCGAAGGGGAACAGGCCGGCGACAGGGCCGAACGTCTCCTCGCGCGCAATCAGCATCTTCTGGTTGAGGCCCGTCAGGACCGTCGGCGCGAAGAAGTTGGCGCCGATGTCGGGCAAAAAGGTGCCGCCCTCGACGATCGTTGCGCCGAGCTTTTCGGCGTCGCGGACGTGCTCGTAGGCCTTCTTGGCGGCGCGGTCGTGGATCACGGGGCCGTGGGTGATGCCCTTCTCGAAGCCGTTGCCGACGTGGAACTCGCGCACCTTGGCAGCAAACTTCTCGGCGAACGCGTCGTAGATGCCGCGCTGCACAAAGATGCGGTTGGCGCACACGCAGGTCTGGCCCGACGAGCGGAACTTGGACGTGATGGCGCCGGTCACGGCGGCATCCAGGTCGGCATCGTCAAAGACAATGAACGGCGCGTTGCCGCCCAGCTCCAGGGACATCTTCTTCAGCGTGCTCGAGCACTGCTTCATCAGCAGCTTGCCGACGTTGGTGGAGCCCGTGAAGGAGACCTTGCGGATGGTGGGGTTCGTGGTCAGCACCAGGCCGACCTCGGGGGTGTTCTCGAGGGCGGTCACGACGTTGACAACACCGGGCGGGATGCCGGCGCGAACACTGAGCTCGGCCAGCGCCAGGGCCGTGAAAGGGGTCTCGCCGGGTGCCTTGACGACCACCGTGCAGCCAGCGGCCAAGGCAGGGCCGACCTTGCGCGTAATCATGGCGGCAGGGAAGTTCCACGGGGTAATCAGGCCGCAGACACCAATGGGCTCCTTGACCGTATGCACACGGTTGCCGGGGACGGTCGAGGGAATCGTTTTTCCGTAGATGCGAGGCGCCTCCTCGCTGAACCACTCGAAGAAGTTGGCAGCGTACACAGCCTCACCGCGCGCATCGGCCGTCGGTTTGCCGTTTTCCCACGTAATCAGAGTGCCCAGGTCGTCGGCGTTCTCCATCATAAGGTCGTACCACTTGCGCAGCAGCTTGGACCGCTCGCGGCCGGTCTTGTGCCGGAAGGTCTCAAAGGCCGTGGCGGCGGCAGCAACAGCCGCCTCGGTGTCCTTGGTGTCGAACTCGGGCGCAACACCAATCAGCTTGCCGGTGGCCGGGTCGCTGACCTCAAAGGTCTTGCCGGAGCCGGCCTTGACCCATTCGCCGTTGACAAAGCAGACGCCCGTCTTCAGCAACGACGGATCATTGAGCTGGAGGAGGAGGCGCGTTAGGCTATGCAGGAGAGGACGAGACGCAACCGGGCCAGGATTGGAAACAAATGGCAACAAACAAAACATACCTTGGGGACCATGTTGGATGCGTTTCTGGAGAGAATTGTGGGAAATACCAAAGGTTGGAAGCAAGAACGGCGTGCAGGAGAAACAAGTCGAGATGTTTGCAGAGTAGAAAGACGCACGATTGACCGCAGAGCTGCCATGGCTTCTTGCGGTTTCTATTCTCTCGCCTCCCTCTGCTCTGTTTTTATGTGCGGATGCTATTCCCGACCTATTTAACGTGGTGGTCGGTGCCGGCTATTCTTGTATCTGTCGAAGCCGTATAAGCAATCGAGTGCCGAGAGCCGGCGTCAGAATGCGGGCAGGGTCCGCTAAACAAGTGCACTGGTTGGTGGCTTCGGGGGATTGAACACTGGCCTGTAAGCCGCCTGCAGTGCTTATGCTTTAGGTGCCGGTAGACAAATCAATGCGGAAAAGACGCGCATCGCACAAGAGGAGAGAGGGGAGAGAAGAGAATTTGACGAGGGACGACGCAGCGTCATGAAGGCGAAATTGGAACGTAGATGGACGGAAGGCACAAGAGTAGCGCCAATGAGGGGGAGCTGGGAATGGCAAGAGCCAGTGGACACAGGAGACTGAAGGCGCTGAGGCGTCCGGGAGTAGCACCCCTGTGAGAACAATCACCTGCACGAAAGAGGGGCCAGCTCGATGACGTTCAGTCAGTTGCTCTTTCCTGCTGGCTTTGACGCTAAATCACCACCCCAAGCCAGGGCAGCTTGGTCGGCTGCAGTTTCCGAATTTGGGCAAAAACTTGGGGCATGGCCTCAAAGACTCTTCCTGGATGGCAAGAGCAGAGGCCTTTCTTTCTTTTCCGGTGGTCACCCCGAAGCTTCCTTCCAGCTGGCTGTTTTGTCTCGTCACTCGTTCCTGCCGTTACAAATCGAATCCATCCGGAGGATAGATCGGAGGACAGATCGGAGGACCGGGGCAGAGGAGAACATTCCTAGCCTTCGTAAACCTTGTCCCGAATTGGGTATTGCAAACGAGGTATGTAGATAGCTTTCAGACCCAGACAACATAGCCGAGAGCCAGAGAGCTTTCAAGCCCGGACAACATAACCGAAAAAGGATGCAAGATGTGAGACCCTGAGGCTTTAGCTTGACCACGCGGGACCAACAGCTCGTTCCTGCCGTTTTGCCTGTTGTGGTGGTCTTTCCCCTTGCGTACCTGGAAACTAGCAACGAAGTAGCGCCCACTGCCGCTAGAATGCGCCAACCGTAGCACCATCATCACCAACGTGACGATCTCCACGCCTTTGATATTCCAATGCTGCCTGTTGCCGCCAATCTACCCGACATATAAACTGATCCTCTATGCCATGCGTGGCCAGCTCGGCCATGTTTTAGACTTCTTGGAAGCATGGACTCCGTCCAGGCGAGGCCTGCGGCGACAGCCAATTCACCCGGCCGCGAGCTGGCATGGCAACGCAAATGGACAAAAGTTGAGCATGTGAGCGGCAAGATGCTGTTTGTACCATGGTCAATATCGCCAAACGATCAATTGAGGGCAACGGGACGGCCTGGCTAATCGGCATGCAGAACTGCTGACTAGTGTAGATGGCTTCTGAGGCAAGGTGGCCTCCAGCGTGTAGGCCATCATTCTTCAAAGACACAACGACAAGGCCTCAAACGTGGTAAGACACAGCGCAGTGCGAACATGAAGCGTGGCTCCCCAGTTCTGGCGTGGGCAGCAGCAGCAAGGGCCTCCGTCTACCATCTCAGGATATCCGCCCCGGCCAGTGCCGGCCCTCCCCTTCTCGATGCCTTCGTCAGCTACTCAATCGAGTTCGCCTCGTTTCCCGATTTTGCAGGCAATAAATCGGCGCCCAATACGTTCAGCGATGCATTGCTAAGTAACCTGGGCGACCTAACGGGCTCGAAACCGTACATTCGTGTTGGGTAAGGAGCCACCGACGAGCAAAACGAGAGCAGAGTAAACTGGGAACGAAACTGACTCGACTAGGGGCAACACGCAGGACTATGCGCTCTACAATGCAAGCTTACCCTGGGCAATCAACGGCACTTTCAACCTCTCGCGCTCGGCCGACTATCCGACGACCGTATACATCGGCCCGTCCTTCTTCGAAGGCTACAGGACACTGCCTGGAACGCGCTTCTCACACGGCTTCAACCTAGCTCTGGCAACAACGCCAGCTGGGTGGCAAAGCCTGTTAGACACAGTGCCGTTGGTATGCGATGCATTGGCCCTCGAGGTGATACCAGCCAATGACACAACCACTGCCAGCAACGGTGCTGCAAACAGGGGAAAGTCGTACGCCCGTCGTCGGCTCTACACATGGGAGTATGGCAACGAGCCTGATTTGCTGTCGACATCTGCACAGGGCCCGACCCGACCAACTGGCTGGAACGAGAGTATCTATGCTTCCCAGTGGCTCAATGGCACGAGGCAAATCCGGCGCCTCATCGAAAAGCATTGCTCAGAGCTGTTGCGTGAGGATGATTTTCGCAGCGGAGGTTTGTCGACACGGACATCGCCGCCGGCTGTTCCTCCCGACTATTCGGGGTTCATGGCTCCATCCTTTGGTGGGACACACAACCATCTGAGAGCGCCTGCTGCATGGAAAGCCGGTCTGGATGCTGACCGGAACATTGCGTTGTTCTCGTCTCATAAGTACGTTCGCTGGCCCAACTAGAGACGAGAGAGAGAGGTACTAACGCTTGCAGCTACATCAGCGGCGCCACCTCACCCGGCGTGACTCTCCAGGGCACGCTCATGAACCACACCAACACAGTGCGCTCTGTCAACGCGCACATTGCCGAGTACGAGGCCATTTTTGGAGTCGCAGCCGGGAACAGCACGCGGAGGTCCCAGCCTCGGCACATTCTGGGCGAGGCCAACTCACTCTACAACGAGGGCAAACCGGGTCTATCCAACACTTTTGGCGCCGCCCTCTGGGGCGTTGACTTTCTCCTGTACAGCGCCGCCACGGGGATTGGCCGTGTGCACATGCACCAGGGCGCCAACTATCGGTACGCCTCGTGGCAGCCGCTTGATACGGAGAGTACCACGCGCGGGACGAAGCCGCCGTACTATGGCAACGTTGCCGTGGCGGCGGCTCTGGGCAATACACAACTGCACAATGTATCGGTAGCGGTGCTGTTTCCGTCCGGCTCGTCGTCGTCTGGTGATGTCGATTCGGCGTACGCCATCTATGTGGATGGCCACCTCACTCGCGTGCTCGTACTCAACTTGCGAGGCTACAACACGACGGTGGATGGAAGTGGCTTGGGCGAAGCAGCACCTGCTGGCTTCCGGCCACGCCCAAGCCAGAACTATACCTTTTGAATTGAGCACCAAACCGCAGACACTTTGTAGCTGGTATTAGCTGGTTGGTGTTTACCTCCCCTCGTTCCTTCCTCGAATTCCTCTAATTACTGCGCACACATCCGGCTCCCCCATATTTTGATGCTGGAGCCTGGGCCCAGACCGGCCTATGCGGCGCCGAACGGAGTCCATTCGATCCTTCTCGCTTGCTGACTTGTTCCACCTGCCTTGCCTAGGTCTTACGTCTCCCATAAACAATCGACCCTCTTCTTTCCGTCGTTCCACATCACGATTGCTATTTTTTTTTGATCTCGGCTTTTTTATGTTCTCTCTTGTTTATGTCGGTTCGTCGTCTTCCTCGATATCCAGCATTCACCACCAGTGCTCAGCATCCCTGCATCATTCGCACCCTCTCACCAACTCGCAATTGCCTCCAGCCTAAGCTTCACACGACCATCGCCGTCGATCCCGATGTATTGATCTGATCTGACCTTTGATCTGTACCTTCAGCCTCATCGAATCAGCCTCGACAGACAGCACACTTTGCAGTCGTCTCCGAGACTGCTCTCTAGCAGAATCAACAATCCGAAATAGACACGAGGTTGCCCTCTGGTATCCTTTCCTTGGACGCCGTATACGACCGTTCTTACCTCGGACTGGGAGTATTGCCAGCTCCATAACGTTTTTTTTTTCACGGCTTTTCTTTTCCTTTGTTCCTCGCCCTCAAACGTGCAACTTTCCCTGTAGCCTCTACTGGGCCATTGGATTCTTCATCGTTCACCATCGGGACAAAGTTCTTCCCCCTCCATCCCGGCCGCATCGGCTACAGCTCTTTTTCATGCTCTTCATGCCTGTGGAGAACGAAACCACCGGCCGACCCGTTGATCACGCTCGCCTTTCCAGCTCTTCTGTCACGAGGCCGTCCTCCGTTGCTACGTCTGCCAAGGAGCGTCTTCGCTTGAGCCGCGGCGCAGCCCCCGTCGTCTCGACGCCCGCCCACTCCGTCACGTCGCCGACTGAACAGCCGTCGTCACCGACCTCGTCATCCTCCTCGCTCTTCTCGTCTGTGGCCAGCCACTCTTCCTTTTCGACCACCTACCAGCCGGTCCCGGCGTGGATTGCCTCCGAAATCAGCCGGAATGTGCTAGCACCCACGCACGAGTTCCCTGGTTACACCGCTGTTGCTGGCGCGGCGGGTTGTTCTGCAAGAGGTGGCGCATGTTGCGGCGGCGGTGCATCCGGAGGACTCGCCGACGCCGACACACCCCGTTCTGTCAGCTCGCCTTCGCATCCCCCCTGCCCGCACCCTTCTTCCTTGTTCCGGCCAAGAAGTTACTCGATGGCCATGCAACCGTATCTGGCATCTGCACCCGCCGCCGGGCTCCCTGACAGCCGTGCTGCCGTTGATATACCGGAGCAGCGAGCGTCTCTGCGGTCCAAAATCATCACACCCTCCGACTTCAACGGGGAAACCAGCAGCATCCCCGGCCTAGGCGCTCTTGACGATGAAGACGGGCAAAAAGGACAAAACGGGCAAAACAGAGACAACGGGCAAGGCGAATTCCAAGACGACGTCTCCGCGGCAGACGGTCTTCTCACAGCGGCCGCCAAGACTGGCCGTCTGCGAGATGAGCCCGAGAACGAAGTAGTACGGAAGCAATTTCTCGCCAAAGGCAATGTAAGTCAGGGCACCATGGCGAACGGCGAATGCAAATCGACTCAGTCCAGCAGCCCGGCAACCTCGGCCTCAGGAACTCCGCAAATTCCGCAGCCGGCTTCCTTCCTATCACAGAATGCCGATCTCGTTGAGCTACTCAACCAAGACGATCGGCCGACGTTCCTCGTCGATGCCTGCGCCACGGACAGCGAACAGATGGACAAGCCGTGGGCGGTCGTCTTCGCCAACACCGCCCTCAAGGCATTACCGTCTATCCTAGTCAAGCTGTCCAGCACCGATCACGATGACGCCTTGTCACAGTTCAAGAATTGGGCGCTGCGATTGACGCCAGAGTCCGCCGCCCTGAACCAAGACCCTGCTTCGTTCGCTGGTTGGCGGTGGAGTGCATCTACTCTCCGGCGGCGCTTCCGTGTCATTCGGGGCCTCGGCTTCGAAGCACCAGTACCTCCATCACAGCCTTCTCCTCTGGTAGGAAGCAGTACCACTGCGACCATAGCCGCCGCAGGTGAGCCTGACCTACCGGCCCAGAAGAGCCCTCCGCAAGATGAGGCCATCTCTCTGCCGTCTTTGACTGCCGGTGACGACTGTTCTTCAACGGCGGCACCAACCGCCATCGATCTCGGCGCCAGCCTGGTCCCGTTCCCGCCCCTCGAAGATGTGAAGCAGTCTTTTGATTGGACACGTATTGCCGTGACCGACGACATGCCAGCGCACATTCGGTTTGCCAGATCTATCGACTGGGCTTCCACACCTCTGGGGCCGATTGAGCACTGGCCAAGTGACCTCCGCACCATGGCCAACCTCGTCGTGGCAAGCCCGCATCCGGCTGCAATGTACTGGGGCCCGTCATTCACGGTGATCTACAACGAGGCATATACCTCGCTGGCTGGCCAGAAACACCCGCAGTTGATGGGCTCGCCTTTCGCCCAAAGTTGGTCCGAGATTTGGGACGACTTGAAGCCCTTCTTTGACAGCGCCTGGAATGCCGGCCAGGCTGTCTTGAAGCAGGACAACCACCTGTTCATCAACCGCCATGGGTTCTGCGAAGAGACCTTCTTCGACTGGTCCCTTGTGCCCATGGTTGGCAGCGACGGCTCGGTTGTGGGCCTGTTCAACCCCGCCTTTGAAAACACCCGGCGGAAGGTCAATGAACGGCGCATGTTGACTCTGAACGATGTGGGCGAGAAGACGGCTACGGCACAAACCATTCCCGGCTTTTGGCAGGCGGCCCGAGAGGGTCTGGAGGACAACGAGTACGACGTGCCCTTTGCGCTCATCTACTCCGTCGTCCGCACCAACAACGACAACAACAACGACAACAACGACAACAACGAGAGCCAAGTGTCGTCGACCACACCGGGCACTCTGCCCAATCCGCCCCAGGTTGTGCTGGAGGGCTCGCTTGGCGTACCGCACGACCATCCAGCCGCTGTGCACTCGCTGGATCTTCGCACCAGCGAGGACGGCTTTGCACCGTATATGCGTCAGTCCATGTCGGGTTCCACCACCAGCGCACCGTCGTCCACCGTGCTTCCGCCGGTCGTTTTGTCCATCGAGAACGGCACGCTTCCCACCGAGCTCCTAGCCGGTCTGCACGGCGACCGGGGCTTCGGCGATCCGTGCCGCACCGTCGTCGTCATTCCCGTGCAGCACCTTACCGTCACGTCCGACTCCACAGCCTCCTCCTCATCCATTTCGGGCTTCATTGTCATGGGCACGAACCCGAGGCTGTCGTACAACCGGGACTACCGCTTGTTCGTGCACCTGCTGGCACGCCAGCTGACAACATCGCTGGCGTCCGTGGTGCTGTATGAAGAAGAAGTGCGCCGCAGCCAGTGGGCAGCGCGCAGAGCGGCACAGGATCGCCAGGAGCTCTCCCACCAGCTCCAGATCCGAACCCAACAGGCCGTCGACAGCCAAAACCGATTCATGCGCATGGCCGAATTTACGCCTGTCGGCATGTTTGTCACCGACAACACGGGCCGGATCACATACTGCAACGACATGTGGTGGAAGATTTCGCGCCACCCACGACAGGATGTCGCTGCGTCATCACCTCCATCCAGCTCCCTCACCCCCGTCCAAGTCGCTGCACCCCTCAACAACGACGCCTCGTCCGTTTGGGGCACCTGGATGGACAGCGTGCAGGACGAGGACCAGCCAGGACTTGCCGTGGTCTGGAACCGACTTGTCAACGATAAATGCAATGTCACGCACGAGTTCCGGTTCAAGGAGAAGACGACCATCCAGACCGAGGGTGCGGAACCCATCGAGACAACCACTTGGGTTCTGCTGCGCGCATACCCGGAAAAGGACGATCAGGGTAATCTCAAGGGCATTTTTGGGTGCATCACCGACATTTCCCAGCAGAAGCTGGCGGAAGAGTTCCAGATTCAGCTCCGCAAAGAAGCCGTAGAGCATAAGCGCCAGCAGGAGAACTTTATTGACATCACGAGCCACGAGATGCGAAATCCCCTTAGTGCCATCTTGCAGACCGTCGACGAGATCACGAACACGGTCAACGAGCTCAGGCGTCTGGCGGCCAACGGGAGTACGACCGAGTTCAACCGCGCATTCGACAACATCCAGGAAGCCAGCAGCACCATCACGCTCTGCACCAATCATCAAAAGCGAATTGTCGACGACGTGCTCACACTCTCCAAGCTAGATTCCCAGCTGCTGCCCGTGACCCCCGTCGATGTGCAGCCGGTCATGGTGGTCCGCGGCACACTAAAGATGTTCGAAGCGGAGCTCCTGGCCCACGACATCAACTGCACCTTCCGCATTCAACCCTCGTACCTGGACCTAGTCGGCGTCGGGAACTGGCTGAGGCTTGATCCGTCGCGGCTGAACCAGGTCCTCATCAACCTGTTGACCAACGCCATCAAGTTCACACAGTCCTGCGAGCAGCGCTCCATTGTTGTCTCCCTCGCGGCATCCGACGGCCAATGCGACCCTGCCGAAAATGACGTCTCAAGCTCCATCGCCGACGTCTCCTACTTGCCCAGTCGACAGGACACTCCCGGAATCGCCGATGGTGCCGACTGGGGCAACGGCCAGTTGATCAACCTTCACGTCGCCGTGTCCGACACAGGCAACGGGCTGGAGGACGACGAAAAGAACGAGTTATTCCAGCACTTCTTGCAGACGTCGCCCCGGACGCATGTTCAGTACGGCGGTTCGGGCCTGGGCCTCTACATCTCTCGCAACCTTACAGAATTGCAGGGCGGCCAGATCGGCGTGGCGTCGAAGAAGGACGAGGGCAGCACATTTGCGTTTTACGTCAAGTCGAGGAAAGTTCCGTCCACCCCAGCCGGTGTTCAGCCCGGTGCATCGGACATTTCCGCCATCGTCTCTGGTTCACAGTCCGCGACGGACGCTTCTGCTGTCGTTGCCTACACGTCCAATCGCCTCAAGGATGGCTCCGGGAATTGCACCTGTAGCACAACCGTAGCGTCAACGGCCACCGTCCTGCCCCAGCTCCCATCGCCGCCACTGATGGTCGAGTCACCGTTTTGGCCTCTGGCGGCGACAGAACCGCGCTCCCACCAATGCCCTTCCAGGGACGAGGCTCAGGCCGCTCCCACGCCTATCATCAGCAACGCTGCTATCTCCTCTCTTACCAAGCGTTCTGCCGACGACACAAATAGAGCATCGGACGTCTCGCCGACACTGGATGTGCTCATCGTGGAGGACAACATTGTCAACCAGAGGGTACTGCAGCGCCAGCTCGACAAATGTGGAAACCGGACAATGGTAGCCAACCACGGTGGCGAAGCGCTGGAAATTCTGCTCCAGGCTGCGTCTTTTGGAAAGGCGAATTCAGACAGCGGCAGTGCTGCCGGGGACGAGCCTGCATCCAGTGTCAAGGGGCAACCCGAAGCGACAAGGGTGCCGTCGGCATTGGCTCCCGCGAGCGCCGCCATGGCACCCTCGGCTTCCTCCTCGGGCTTGCGGCCGCTTGGTTCATATGTCTCCATCGTTCTTCTGGATCTAGAAATGCCCGTCATGGACGGCATGACCTGTGCGCGGGCCATCCGTGCTCTGGAGCGGAGCGGCACGCTTCCAGGCCATGTTCCCGTCATCGCGGTCACAGCCTACGCCCGGTCGGAACAGATTGAGGCGGCCCTGGCAGCCGGTATCGACGACGTTATCTCCAAGCCGTTCCGCCTAGCGCAGCTGACGCCCAAGATTCAGGAATTGGTGGCCAAGTACCCTGTTGCTCTGCGTCCTCTTGCAGAGACTGCAAACTAGAGATTGGGTGATATCCGTCCATCTTTGCAGTCCGCCACGCCCATTTTATATCTCTCCTCGGCTCTCCTTATCTTCATATCCCATTTTATACGTCGTCACATTTATCATACGCAATGCCATGTTACAAAGTCATCTAGACATGGTGCCATCTCGAGGGGTTTTCTTATCTTGCCTCTAGAAAGCACAGGCTTTTTCTGTATCTTTTCTCTTGTCTCTTTGTTTTTCCTGTTTTCTTTGTTTTTCCCTTTTTTTTTTGCCAGCAAGCGAAGCAAGTGAATTTTGCACTTCAATACAGTGCCACTGGGCATACGCGATATGGTCATTGCACGGGTGTTATTTGTCATTTTTCTGTCGACTTCGACTGGGCGAAACGGCTTTACAAAATTGGCGGGGTGTCTAGACACCTTCACTTTTCTTAGGGAACCGGATTGGCGGCGTTGTAGGTTCTCACGCGGAGCCTATTGCTTCGACGATGTTTTATGGTAAACGCAAGATACCACCAACGAGCATTATTTCACCTAATTGAACACAAATGATGATGATAAGACATCTTGTTTTTCTTTTGTAGAAAAGCGTAGCACGTTAATATAAAATGATAGTTGGCTTGCCGTTTATTTTGCAGAATTTATCAGGACGACCTGGGGATGTATGGGAAGAAGGTGAAGGGGGTTGAAAAGAAAATATCGGAAGAAAATGAAAGAAGGTTGAACTTTTTTTAAAAAAATTTTAACGGAATAAAAAAAAAATAAAGAAAATAAAACCGAATAGAAGCACTACGATTGGAATCATCTTGTACCTGCTTTAACACAACCAGGATTTGTTCACTGACCCTGTCATAAAACAAACTTCATATTTACTTGCAGACAGTCTCCCAAATAAACAACTAATTTTGAAAACGCATAGAGGAAAGTAGCCATCATACCGTTTGTCAACAGAAATAACATAGTTGTCTGGTGCTGCTTGTCCAACAGACGGGGTGTGCGCCAATAGCTAGCTACAACATGTCGTACAGTCAAAGTATCGACACGCTACCTGATCGCCAATGCGAAATTGGCAACAGCGTAAAGAGTTGCATAGAGCAAGAAGCAAAGAGACGGACGCGAAATAAAAATATTGTTATGGCAGAAAGCAGTATGTGAATTATTAGGTATGGTAATGATATGTGGTATAGAGTCCGTAAGCGTATACTTTTTTGTGAAACTTTTTTGTTGTTTTTTTCGGACACGTAAAACAGAAAAAAAAACAAAAAAAACAAGACGAAAAATCAAATCGAAAAGGAAAGGCAATGGCAAAATAAAGGAATCAACCTAATGTCACGCAACAGATTTGCTGCTGCTCAGTAGCGAAGAGCAGGAACCTGCTGGTGACATGGTCGTTCTCTTAAACAGGGTATCTCAAATGCAGAAACCGAACAACCCGAGACAAACGGCAGACAATGGGGTATTAGATGCTTTAAGGGCCGCCTCCTTTTTTGGCGGTTGTCGTCATAATTAACATTCTCCGAGCGAAGAGTAGGGAAGAAGGGTGGACGCGAGAACAAAAAAAGTTGCGAAACGAGGTGTAGCCGTTAAATCATCACAATAACTCATCACCGCCGATTGAACAGCGAACCTGAACGCGCATTCTATGCGGTGGCAGCGACAACAGGGGTGGCGGTGACGGCCTTGGGAACCTCAGCGGCAGCATCCTCAGCGGCAGCAGCCGGGGCAGCAGCCTCGGCCTCAGCCTCGGCGGCGGGGGCGGCAGCAGCGGCAGCGGCAGGAGCCTCCTCAACAGGGGCCTCAGCCTCAGCAGGCTTGGCCTCGGCAACGGCAGCAGCGGCCTCCTCAGTCTTGGCGGGGCCAGGAGACTTGTCCTTGCGGCCCAGGCGGACGGTGTTGCGGAGACGAGAGAAGCCCGACGTCTTCTTCTCACCCTCGTCGTCCGACTTCTTGCCACCGAAGTTGAAGGGCAGCGACGACTTGCGCTTGTCGCTCTTGACCTCCTTCTTCTCGCCGTTGGTAGCGGCGGCAGCGACCTCAGGAGTAGCCTCGGCGGCCTTAGCCTCAGCAGCAGGGGCGACCTCAGTCGAGAGGGGCTCGGTGGCCTCAACAGCCGGGATCACGGGGGCATTCTCAGAGACAGCGGCAGGCTCAGCCGGGGCATCCTTGGCAGGGGGAGCAGGAGCGGCCTCAGCCTCGGCCTTCTTCTTGGAGAAGCCCAGGTTGCCGAAGATGCTAGGAGATTCGTTAGACAGTTTGTCCAGGGAAAATGCACAGTGCAGCGGCAAACGAGTTGTGAACTTACCTGCCGCGCTTGGTAGCGGGAGGGGTCTTGACCTCAGGGGTCTTAACCTCGGGGGCAGCAACAGCAGGGGCCGCCTCAGCAACCGGCTCAGCAGCAGCCTCAGCCTCAGCAGGGGCGGCCTCGGCGGCAGGCGCCTCGACAGCAGCCTCCTCAGGGGCAGCAGCAGCAGCAGGGGCAGCCTCGGCGTCCTTCGGAGCCTCAGCAGGGGCCGCAGCCTCCTTCTTCTCTTCCTTCTTCTCTTCCTTCTTCTCTTCCTTCTTGCCGCCAATCAGGCTGCCGAAGATGGAAGTGCGCTTGCCGGAAGCAGAGCGGCGCTTGGGCTCCTCCTTGGCAGCCTCCTTGGGAGCTTCCTCCTTGGGGGCCTCTTGGGCAGGAGCAGCAACGGCGGCAACGGCAGCGGGAGCAGCAACGGCAGCCGCGGTAGCAGCAGCAGCGGGCTCCTCGGCGGCGGGCTCGGCGGCCTTGGGAGCCTCCTCGGCCTTGGGAGCGGCCTCCTTCTTAGCAGGCTTCAGCGAAGCAAGGGTGCTTTTGTAGGTCTCACTCTCCTTGACGGTGGCAGCGAGCTCCTTGGCCTCGGCAATCTTGGCTTTGAGCTGGGCAACCCAATTGTCACGGTCGGCGGCAGTCGGGGCCTTGAAGACGTGCTTGTGGCCCTTGGCGGTGACGTGGAACTTGTTGGCACCCTCGGTGGTGGGCTCAGAAGCATCGGCCTAAGGAGCGGGGAGATTATGTTAGAAAACCAAAGTCTACGTGTAGTTTTCTCGCCGCCGTGAAAACTTGAATGAATTCATACGCAGACGTACCAGATGGATGACACCGTGGGGCTTCTCGCCCTGCTTGTCGCCATAGAAAAGAAGACCCTTGCCAGTCTCGGCGGCCCAGGAGACAACGTGGTGGGCGGTCTCAGTGACCTTCTCGGACTTGACGTAGGCAGCCAGGTCCTTGGGGGTCACGGCCTCCTTGGGGAACCAGAAGAACTTCTTGGTGTACAGGAAGCTCTTGGGGAAACCAGAGCCCTTGGCCTCGAGGACGCCCTCCTCGATGGGCTCGACCTTCTTCTTGGGCTCCTCGGCAGCGGCAGGGGCCTCGGCAGCGGTCTCAGCGGCGGCAGGGGCCTCAGCAGCAGGCTCAGCAGCGGCCACGGCAGCGGGTGCCTCGACAGCGGCAGGGGCCTCAGCGGCGGTCTCAGCAGCAGGAGCCTCAACAGCGGCAGGGGCCTCGGCGACAGCCTCGGCGGCGGGAGCCTCAACGGCGGGGACCTCAACGGGCTTCTGCTCTTCGGCCATTGCGACGGTTGTAGTGTTTGGAAGTTTGGTGTATGTTGAGCGGTTGTTGTTTTGGGATGAGAAGCCTTGCGAAAAGCTTGTCGGATGTGATTTTTCCGTAACTTGGAAAAGTTTTAGGTATCTTGCGATTAAGGGGGGGGTATCGAAGGGTATCTTAGGAAAGAAAAAGAAATACAAGACTATAATGAAATAGGGGTATCACAAGAGAAATCGAAAGAAAAAGAAAAGGGAGTATTAGTGACGGGTGTTGTGCGTTGAACTGGTCAAGCTGGGTATTTTGTGCGATGTCAAAAGAAAGAAGGGTGAGGAGAGCAGAGGAGAGAAGAAAAGAGAGGAGAGAGGAAAGGAGAAGAAAAACAGAAGCATGTAGAAAAGGAAGGAACGGTTATTTTAAAAGAACAGGAGGGAGCCACGGAGGGCAAGAGCAGAGCAGGGACCCGTGGCCAAGGGGGGAAGGGACCACCGCATAGGAGACAGAGAGTGGTCTGGGTGGAGGAAGATCCGCCTGAGCAGCTCAAAGTACTTTGTACACTTACACCTGATTGGTCAGGCTGCACGAGTGTCGAATGAGGAAGGGGCACTTGGACCGCCTTTGATAGACGCTCTTGCTTTTGGAAAGGAATGGGAGTGGAGGGGGAGCAAGGAGGGAAGGAGGGATGGAGGGAGAAAAGACGTTGGATGACGAATGAGCAACGCCTCTGGCAAGAGCAACCAACGAGCTGCACGACGTGCACGCTGCACAAGCCAGGGCGTGCGACGGCGCGTGGTGGCCTTCGTGGTGCTTGCCTGATGCTACAATCTACACATTGGATGGCAGAATACTGAGTAGTAATTCGTACTGTACTTGTGAGTCTCATTTACAGCACGGAGCTCCTACCTTTTTGCCTCTTTGTGACCGCGCATGCCTTTGGGCGTTGATTGCTCAGATAGCCCGTTGCACCTGCCCTCCCTGAGCCCCATCGGTTCTTGTTTGCGGACGTTTTGCCATCTCGCTCCCTGTTCCTGATGCCCATTCTTTGGGCCTCCACAGTGGGCGGCTCCTGCTGCATTGGGACGGTGTTGCTGGGGAGAGCATCCAGCCTCTGTCAGGATCAGAGCATTTGTGCGAGAAACAGTACATCGTACCTTCCGTACCTGCCCCTTTTCGACATGAAAAGCTTTATTTGCTGGGTTTCCATAGTATTTTCTGATACGGAGTTTTGGGGGGGCCCTGGGCCCAGACATGGACAATTGAAATTGCTTGGCCAGCGCAGGGGTGGGAAATGGACGAGTGTAATGGCGCCCTGACAGGGGTGATCGTGGTACGCTTTTTCAGGGCAGGACCAAGGACCAAACACGGTGTTTTGTGGGTGGCGGGCAGCAGCGACCGACAAGAAACCCGATACGCGGCAGGTGGGCTGAGCACAGGGCTCTGATCGTCATTTGCGCTGCCGGCGCGATAAAGCGTGATGTGCGCATCGCCCTGACGATGTAGGTACGGTAGGGGGGGCATCATTTTATTTTCGAGCGTAGAGTTTTGCTAGTGCGCGCTACGGCGGCAGGGCAACGGCGAATGAAGGTGCCACGGGCAGCCTGTCAGCCTGTATCTTATGTACGAAGTACGAAATATGTCAGTCACGTCTGCAGCATCGTATTTCCCGAGCGAAGGTGTGCGAGTCTTGCTGTCGGCCTGCCGTTGTCAACGAAGGCACTCTCCGTAGCGGCGGCGTGCAGTGCGGTCCCTGTGGGCGATTGGGGTGGACAGCCTGGTCGCTCCTTCGCATGCCAGCTGCGTCGTGAAAAATCTGCGTTTCGATGCGTCCAAGAACCGTGCAATTGTTCGGCCTTTTTCGTGCTAGATTTTTAACTTATTTTTAACCCGAACGTTTTACGAGGCAGACGTGCCAGGCGTGCAAAACCCGTTTTCTTGTCGTTTTCGCCTTTCTTTTGTCCCCTCGAAACAGTCGCGATGAGTCAACGAAACTGGTGCCAGGGGCGAACTGAGAACGCGCCTGCGAAGAAATGTTTCCTATCTCGGACCCATCACATAGCTTTTGGGGGCAGGAAAAGGAGGAGCTTGAAGATGGAATACTAGTCGTTGTACGAATGCAGCACAATGCGCTGCCGTATTCCCTACATCGTACGAATCGTAAGATAGCAGCAGCTCAAAAGTAAATAACAACTGGCAGGCTGGCCCAGCCCAGTCCCGAATAACCGCGCTAGAGATACCTTTGCCTGCAAAGTACCGGCATTTTTAGTGGGCCAGAGTCTAAGTCGCAGCGCATCAAAAGCGAATGGACACCTGCCCAGAGAGTGGGTCGCACCTACTGCAGCAGCCTGCAGACGCCATGTGACTTTTTTTGTAAAAAAAAATTAAAAATTCGTACGTCTTTTCCAGAGGATATTCGTCTTGCAATCGTGATTCAGCACAGGGGTGTTTTGATACGACATGGAGCCTCCCTGGTCGGTATGTGGCAAGAATGAGCAGCGAAAACCTTTTACATCGTAAACGAGAGGGTCCGGTGTTTTCCCTCCCCTTCTCTCGTTTTCCTTCGCGTCGATCAGGTCACAAAAAGAGGGTCGAAAAAGAAGCAGGAGCAAAAGCGCTGGTCCCCAAACCTGTCCATAACCAGCATGTGCGAATCTGGCGTGCAGGCCGTGGCTTCCTGACGAGAGTGCCAGTCGCTCCTGAAGGGGGTCAGCACAATAAATCGATACATTAGCACAAAATCAAAACGAAGTCAACAACCTCCGCCGAAATGCTCTGTGCGACGTAAGACATACTCCGTACAGAGAGAGATGCGCCGTGTCACTTTGCACAGAAACGCAAGGGAGCGCGCAAAAGACATTGTAGAAATAAGAAACGAGAATTATGGGTCTGGCGTATGGCCGTGGCCTGTTGTTTTTGGCCTGGCGCTGGTTGCCCTGAAAACGTTCGAGGGCAACGGCTGGCGACGACATCGCTGTAGCAGGCGCTGTGGGAGTTGGGCGGTGTCCGTTTTCCTGCTCCTTAGCAACGGAAAAAGGGAAAGCAAAACGAAGGGGCCCCACTTGCCAATTAAATTTCGTCCCGCGAGCTAATATCGTGATCCACTGCAATTAAAGTCGTAAGAAAAGAGAGTTACGAGACAAGTGCATCAAAATAGGTTTTGGGTCTGTGGTCTCTTATTTGGCGCTGGAGGTTTGCGAGGGGTCGACTTTACATTTTGGAATACTGTGTACATTCGATGCTGATGATCTGTTCCCCGTAGTTGTTTATACCATTTTTGATCCGTCCGAGAACGGCTTGTGAGAGACTGGTTCGTTGCAGGAACGCTCCTGCCTTTTTGCTTCCGTGCGTACCGCACTTGACGATGCAAGAAGGTGAGGTGGGTGACTGCTTGTGTCGTACCTGCTTCGCCGTGCTCCTTCCCTGTTAAACAGGCTCACGCCACTACGTAACTGCCATATTTGACATCTTTTTGCGAAGCGATCCCAACAGAAAAGGGGCATCGGTCGAGAACACACGGCGCACTCAGCCAGGCCCCATCTTTTCGGAGAACCACCAAGCCCGCTCGCCCTCGCATTTTCTTCTACGCCCACAATGCTCGCAATCCTCTGCCTGACTGGCTTACCTCTCACTGGTCTAGCCTTGCGCACTTGTCGTCTTGGTCTAGCATGATACGCTCCGACAGAGAGAGGCGGCTGACATGCTGCCCTGATTTGCTACTCTAGAGGCTGCACACGATTATCCTATTTCTGCTTTCGTTGGCTTTGGCGGCATGTTTCAAAACTGTTGGCCACGGCCGGGGCAGCTCGCCTGGTTGGGCCGTGTTTCGAGGCTAACTTTGTTATGCCGTGGCTCCAGGGCCTGCAGGCCCTGGCCTTGATCCCGACCAAGTGCTTGACGCCGTGCTTCGAACAAGTCGACGATCAACCAACCAGTTGTCAAGAAAGCAGGCTGAACTGGGCTTCAGGCACGATATTCCCAGAAAGATGTACCTAGGCTGGCAAGCTGCCGTCCATGCCTCGTATTGCGATGCATATTATTTCGTACTTACCCACTGGTGCTGTTGCCGCTGAGGGTAGATGTTATTTTCGAGGTTGTCAATGCTTATGTTTTTCATTTGACCGTTGCACTGGATTACTTACCCCAGAGCGACAGCTCCATTTCTCCGTCGATGAGAAGCTCCTTGCTAACACAGCATCCCCGTTTGACAAGAGAGTCTACGAAAAGCCAGCGAAGGCCCTCCCAGTTTTCAATATACTTTGCCATCCCTGGCTGACAGACAGCAGATCCGCGTCGGAACTGGATTTTCTCAGTTTACACAATACGCATAGGTCCCCCGGTTCACTGTCATCGCGCCGCCCATTTTGTTTGTCTCACTTTGGCGGGTAGTTCAGACACCACTTCAGACACTTCCGTGAGGGGACGGGTTGTGAAGACAGACAGATTCGAACACACAGAACAGTCACACACACACAACCGGGGTTGGACGAACAAGTCAAGGCGCCGAAGAAATGGAAAAGAAGAGGAATCAAGAGGCTCACTAAACACCCCACAGCAAGACTCAGAGAAGAAAGGCAAAATACCAGTCGCCGCAATTCGACCTAGATGTCTAGAAACAAACCGCTCAAGACAAGGAAGTGGAGTGCTTCAGGTTGATAACCTCATATGAATCTGCGTCCCCGCCTCCTGGTGGTTTTTGGGCTGTCTCTTCTTCTTTTCTTGTCCGCTGCTGTGTGCCCGACCTTTGATTGTTCTTTATTTGGCTTGCCGCTTTTGCCTGGAAATTACAAGCTACTGGCTTGTGCTTCTGCGCCTGCAAATCATCCTCAGTGGCTATCAGCAACGACGATCACCTGAGGTGCTAGCGAAAACGAGCTTACATTTGACGATGTGCACACAGTGACGATCAACCTGCCGCTTTCTCCGGCGGTCGTCGACAGACCGATAGGCGTTGGCTCGCTGGTTCCTTTGCGTGCCCCTCCGTTGAAGATAGTGGCAAATAATTATGCTGTACATTCGATGGTGGTTGAATTCTCAGTTCTGAGGCGACTAGTCCTTGCATCAACTTCACCGCGTCTTTGCCATGGGCCGCTTCGTCTCGCCGCGCCATTCCTTCCACAACACCATCCCCGACATTTGTTGCATCACTCCGCCCGACTTGCAGACGAAAAATCTCGTCAGAGATACGATCCCTCTCCTTCCGCTTCTGGTGTTGCCCATTGTTGGTGTTCATGATAACAAGCGCACCGCACACCACTGCTTTGCTTCACACCATCTTTCATGCTCCAACACCCACGCTCCTCCCACATGCTTTTAGTGCTTGCATGAAAATACATGCCGTTGACCCCACTCACCCATCACTCATCAACACCGCTTTTTTCAAGAGGAGGATAGCACGCATAGCCGGGCACGAGAAAATGGGACGCAAAGGGGACGTTGGACGTCTCCAGGCCATACGAGCCAAGGACTTGATTCTGCCTGCTCAAGCCTTCTTTGCCCCCCCGCCATGGGTCACCTGGGTCGCATGATCCTATTATCACGGAGGACAGACACACTCAAACCAGACGCAAACTAGGCAGGCCAAGCAGACCAAGCGAACCAAGCAGAATAAGCGGACAAAGCAGACCAAGGAAACATCAAGGCAACCCAAACGCAGTCTCCAAGTGCAACCAAGACTGGAAGTTACCTTCGAAGGCATCAAACCGCAGGTGGCAGAGAGCGAGCGGCGACCGCCTGCCCTCCACCCTCTTATTTTGCCAGCTTGACAGAGTCGTTATTAATTTGAGTCGATTTTATATATTCGAGCACGTTCAACAACCGCCGTTATCCCCCAGCGACAGTGCGTGTGGAGTCATCCAGTGAACAAAGCACATTTTGTCGACCTGTCAAACCTTCGGTCTGTTGTCCATTTACGTTTCCACGTCCTCTTCCTGTCTTACATCTTCTGCGACCTTTTAATCTTTCCCGTTTCGTTGCTTGGCCGTTGGCTACTTTCGTCTGGTGTTGCATCTCCCCACCCTTTGTGTCTTATGACGTCGAGCCCCCTCTTCCACTTATACTTGTACTGCCATCCTTTGCATCTCCGATGTGCGATGAAGTGACATGCCACATCCAGGTTCTGTTCCGATCTCGATGCCATATGGAAAGGGAACTCGTTGCAAACCAAAGTGCATACTGATGCATATTGCCTTATTCGACGTGCCCCGGAACCAGAAAAACAAAGAGAGGAGTAACGACAATCCAAACAACTTCCTCGGCATACGAAGGACTTAGTTTTGCTATTCTGCGGCCGATACTTTGTGGCACGGGCTCATCTTTGCCTATTATTTCGTCATGCCCCGCCCACACATCCCATAGCCTGCCCTTTCTACTTACCCCTGTGTTCAGAGGACACATGCGACCTCAGCTCCCGTTTTAGATTGACGTTTAATGGCGTGCATATTGCCACAAACTGTACCGCCTTTGCATCTCGTGACTTCGTACCGTTTTGGGGGGTGCAATACGATGTCTCTCACCAAATTGGCCTGGCAAATACTGACTTTGGTCGACATCTAGCACGGGCTGTCAAATACGAACCGGCACCGGCGATGATGCGGAGGCGAGTCGGTGACGACGGCGCTGTTCAGTGCTGCTCAGAGTACAAACTAAAAACGCAGACGGGTCACATCCTACCGAGCCCTCTATGCCAGGAATGCAGACGAACACATAGAGTGCCGCAGCCGCTCGTTCGTTTGTTTTGGTCATGTTCTTGCCTGCAGCGGCCTGAATCGCTCAGGAGCCTTGACCTCGGGCGCCTTTCATTGCCTCTTTTGGCCGTCTTTGCCTCTGCTCGCGCAAGATGGGCAAACTTAGAAAGATGATCTACCCAGCTACCATTGCTTTTTGCCAGGTAATGCAGTCAGAATGCGACCAATGCATTGGCGATGAAAGTAAATTGGCCGCCAAGTTTCTCCGGCCTCGGCGCTCTCTTACACCGATCACTTGATTTTTATTTGTTTGTTATTTCAGTGCTGTCGTATGTCGGCAAGAGACACTCTCGTATGGAGTATAGACTACTCTGTAGGGACTTACCCGCTTACGAGTGTCTCCTCCCTGTCTACGGCCTTCCTTTGGTGATGATGTGCATATTCACATACGAAGCACAGCAAGGGAGACAAGCAGAAAGGGACGTGTAGGTAGGGCAAGAAAATGCGAAACCCAAGACAATGAAGGAATGGAAGACAGGCACACAGCAGGGAGAAAGAGAGAGAAAGGCGCCGTCGCGTGGTCGACATGCACCAACCACGCCACTCTCACTTTTGCCCTGACCCTTACCTCTGGACCCTTCTTTTGCAATCTAGCAACAAAAGGCAGTGTCAATCGATCCTGCGCGCCTGTTTTGTACAAGAGGCCCGTTTGTCTTGTTTTGCTGCAGTAAATTCTGGCACGAGGAGCGGCCACTCGAAAGGTTCTTGTAGTACGTATGAGCATGAATCCTCCCGCTCCTTCACCTCCCTTTCTTTGCAAGTCCTGCCTCGTCGTCGTCTCTCGGAAAGTGCCGGTCTAGTCTGGTTGGTCATGCTTCTTTCCCACAGCAAAAGTGGACAGACCGATTTTGTTAGTGTCAGCTGATGGCGAAAAGCCGGCATCGTATGGCGAGACTTAGGCTGAGCTATGGGGGGGGGGGAACAAAGTGGACAAAGAAGACAGGCGCCCGACAGGCCAACGGGAGGACACACGACGACAGCTAGGCTCTTCTCAAATGTGTGTATTGTCATGATTTGGCAGTTCACCTGGTGGCCTCGCCCGTTTCCCAAAGTGTCGGTTTATAGCCTTTGTGAACGCCACGCGGCCAGTTGGTTTTGCCGGATTGGGTTTCTCCCCCTCCCTCCAGTCGAGCCACCTGTCGGGGCGAACTCGACCAGTGCGAAGCCAACCACCATTTGGCAATGAGGCAAAACCAAAACGACCAGATCGGCTTGCTTCTGCGTGGTGGTCCATTGGTATATATGGTCCTGCTCTGTAGTGCGGAGACTGCCCATCTGATCCTCCTTTGTCGATTCCAGATGGGATGCCGAGGCGAAAGCCTCTCGCTAGTCCAATGAGACAGTGGCCGGTCGGGCCATCAGGACATCATCTCTCAGCCTTGCCTCCAGGCACTGGGAACATGAACGAAGAGACGCGCCAACAAGGGCTGCTTTGGAGATGAGAAATGGACGGCCGTCACTAGGCAATTCGTTCAATCTGACTTATGAGTACGCCAAAAACCAAAAACAATCACAAGAGAGCGGACTGGGACATCATGTGTTGATGCCATGTAGATGATAAAACTTTGGACCCCTTTTTTGGATTTGTCGATGAGAACGAAGTAGCTCAAAACAATCATCTCACAAAGAGACTTGGCAAATATAGAAAGAAAAAACAAGCACAGGCATGAGTACCGGCATGACCAACAGCCCCAAACATTGCCATGGAAAAGCATGCAAAAATAAGAATAAAACAAAAGAAACAAAATAAGTCCCAACCTGCCCTTCTATATACGGACTCCCTCCAAATAAAACAAAAAAGATAACTTTTTGAAAGGCACATGACGCCGGTATTAGAGTCTAATAATGAGAGGGATCAAAAAAAGGGAAAGGAGAAATCTGTAATATCGTGCATCCATCAAGAGGGAAATGAGCAGAGAGGGACGAGACGCGGCGGCGATAGCAACGGAGAAACCACGTGCTCCTCCTCGTTGCGTGTTCAAAATCTCGACAACTGTCTATGAAAATGAGGGCAGTAGCGGTGGAGATGAGACGTCACCTTTTGTTTGCTGCTGTAACAACAGTGTATGTTGAAAACGAGAAAGACAAGGTATGCGAAAAGCGTACGTATCCGGTACCGGTGCCCTTTCCGCTGCCCGGCCATCCAAGGGCGCAATGAGTCTGTCCTCTTCGCACCTCAGAGTCAAGAATGGAAGAAATACGCTTCTGCAGAAGAGATTCTCAGCTCCCAACCCTGCTGACCAAAGACGGGTGGTGTAGGGCCGCGAAACAGGACACGAAAAAGTGTATAAAACAATGTGAAAATCGTAGGCGTAAAGAAAATGACGGACCACAAGCAGTGACCGGAGGGTATATGGCGTATAGGGCTTGAACTCGGACGTAACTCTAAAGCAAAGCTGTCCAGGAAAGCTAGATTCTCGACACCAAGGAACTGCCAATCCAATGAAGAAGAAAAAAAAGGGGAAAAAACAGGGCAAAAGGTAAGCAAAAAGAAAAGCAAAAAAAAAACAGTCGTCTTTCTTCTTTTCGGTTTAGTTCATTGGCTCTTCCCCAATGTTTGGCAATGTGGGAATGCCACCAAGGTTGAGCCCCATCGGGTTCTGTCCCAGCGTCGCTGCCATGCTTGACAAAAGGTTCTGCTGTTGGGCAAGAACCTCAGGGTCGCACGCCGGCGAGTGTTGCTTGTGCTGTTGTTTGTTAATACGTGCGAATGAGTGAAATACGAGATTGAGAGTTGGGATGGACACTTACGTATTTGAGACCGTTCAAGTTCTTGTAGCGCTTGCCACAATAGTCGCACTTGAAAGGCTTCTCCTTCTCCATGCCCATGGTGCCCGGGTACGGCGCAGACGTCTCCGGGTTTACAATCGAAAAGGTGCCGTCACCGTTCTCATGCAGTTGCTGGGTTGCATGGCCGTGGGCCTTGTGGTATTTGAGGCCGTTTTGGTTCTTGTAGGCCTTCTCGCAACCAATGACAGGGCAGCGGAAGGGCTTGGGCTCTTCAGGCAGCAGGAAGGCGGCGCTCATCTGCTGTAGAAGAGCCGCCGTGTCCGTACCCGGCGGGAACTGCGACTGGTCGAGATTGAAATTGGCCAGCTGCTGCGCCAGCGCCTGCTGCTGCTGGCTCAGCTGCGGGGATCCACCACCAGCGGCACCATTGGGACTGTACAAGCTTTTCGCAGGGTCGTTGATGGTGCTAAAATCAAGGCCGCCCAGGTTGTTCGCAAAGCCCATTCCGAAGTTGTTGGTCATGTCCATGTTGCCCAGATCCATCTTGAGGCCGAGGCCGGCAACGTCCTCGTCGTCGTCCAAGTCCGGCGTGGACTCGTGGGAGAACTGCGTCTGGTTGGGAAAGCCTTGCTGGGTACTAAGGGTGGGAGTGTTGACCGACGAGACCGTCGGGTTGTTGGCGAAACCAAAGTTCGCCGCGGCTGGGGTGGTCGGGTTGGATGTGCGCAGGGCTTGGTGGGCGAGGCCGCCGCTGTTG